TGAAAGAAATTTTGGGATTTTACAATTTTGTTTAAAAAAAATCAAAACTGAAAAATTTTTAATCGAAAATTAAATTATTATTTTATCTAATTTTCGGATTTTTTTTTCCAGATTTTTAAATAATTACAGATTGACTCCAACATATAATAAAAATTATCATAAAACTTCAATTTGTAGTTTTTAACATGTTTACATATAGTTAGTGTATGTCACGATGTATTGTATATTAGTCTGTGTAGTTTAGAGAATATTTCAATACTTCGGATGATTTGCAACATAATAGTTGGTGTAGCTGAGAATGATTTTTCTTATATAAAAATGTAACATTATAATTCAAATTAAAATACAGCTATAATCATTTTGAATTGTGAAATTATATATCTATGACTAAGAATAAATACTTCTAATTGTAACATAACTAACAATAATTATTGGGTTAACAAAAAAATGAATAATTGGGTTCTTTCAAACTGATATATTAGTTTATCATAGAATCTACTGATTATTATTAAAAAGTAATAATAAGACAGGTTGGTAGTTGGTATAATTATATGACCTTTGCCAGGATTTTCATAACACGGTTTTGGTTTGGTTGAAAGCCCCAACTAATCAGACAGAACATGAGCTTATGCTCAATGTCTTGTACAATATTTTATTTAATATTAAAAACCGAAAACTACGTACATATATACTAAAAGAAAATTTCCAAGTGAATATTCATATCCGGCTATGCGAAATATAGTACGTTTGCTTAGTTCGTCTATTCCGATGAATATGATTAGAATCTAGGGGTGGAATTATTATCCGGGATCTGAGAACCGATCTGTTATCCGTTCGGAATCGCTCTGAAAATTAGGATATTCAGGGAGCCTGGATCCGGATAAGGATAGTAAAATCTAGGATTTGTGAAAAGAGGATCCGGATAACAAAATTTTAAGGTCCGGATATCCAGATCCGGATCCGGACCCATGAAATATATTAAAAACATATATATTATATATCTATTAAGCTAATTTTATATAAATAAATATATATAAAAATTGATTTTAGTTTTTTTATAATAAATTATATTTATAATGAAAATATCATTAAAAAATTAATTAATAATTTTTAAAAATATATTTTTATTTATTTATTAATTATTTTAATTTATTTTAATATTAATTTCGGATCCGGATATTCGCGGATATCCGTTTTTTTTACCGGATATCCGGAGATTCCGATTCCGGATCCGGATACCTTGAAATTCTAGGACATCCGAATCCGTTCCACCCCTATTAGAATCATTGAATATTATTGGGTTTCTTATTATTACAACTAAACCTATATTGACCAACAAATGTATATATTGTTAGCAATAAAAAAAAAAACCTATATTGACATTTTCTACAAATGTATATAGTGTGAGGTATAATCAAGAAAATTAATGAAATATAGGAAGTAGGAACATTGAGGATATGAGCGATTGGAGTATTATTAGTGTCTGAAGTATTCCAAAGGCGCACATCCCATATGCAGGGTCGGCCCTGAGCCCAAGCATGGGCTTGCGGCCCAATTTTTTTTTTTCTTATGTATTTTTTCGACCCTTAAATTTGTCAAAAATATCTTTAATAGAGTTGATAAAACTCTTTCTATGTAGAATTAGATGTCAAGAGTTTGATCCTCCCTATCTACAAGTGGTTCGTTATTTTTTTTTTTGCTTGTGGCTTTGATTTTTTCGCGTTTAACAAAAAAAAATCATCCTGTAATGTTTTGTTTATATATAACAAATCTTGTTTAATCTATTAATGACCACAAACACTACAAATATTGAACCGAGCAATCCCGCATCAGTTCAGCTCGCCATTACAGTTGTGTGAACAATCTTAACCTTGAGAATATGCACAAATGACCGAAAATTTGGCCAAAAATTGACAAAAATAACGGATGACAAAATCATAAATAAATTGGTTTAGCTAAAGCGTGTTTAAAAGAAATATACATGGATTTTTTTCATGTGTTCATAACAAATATCATGCTATTTTATTTGATATTTTACATTATATCACGTTATTTGCTTAAATGACTCGCAAAATACAGATAATATATTTACAATTTTGTCACTGTGTTGTTTTTGCCACGTTTTACCAAACTCTTGGTTTTCAGGAAATAAGACCAATTTAATATCTATGAACTTTTTTATACCTTAAGTAAATACTTTTTACCTTTTAAAATTTAGACTAACAATTGTCATTGAAAAGAAAAGTAAATTTACAGCAACATTTTATAATGAAAAGCATAAATAGAAGACCACATGAAAATTACCAAATTTAATCTTAAATATTTTTCGTCCCGCATATCAAGCGCTCTCGGTTCAACAAGCCATGTGGGATGGCTTAAGCACATTTCATGGACTTTTAGTCCTAATTGATCCCCAACAAAAAAATTCTTTTGATCAATGAAATAATATTCTTGAGTAGCCAGTAAAATTTTAGCGGGTATTCCAAAATAGCTAGACACATCTGTCGTGGATTTCGCATTTTCCACCCAAAATTTTCTATATGAACGTAAGTAAAACAAATAGTCTCGTGTTGTAGGAAATGATGTCTATCCAGTGGAGTCGTATATAAAGCCGTTCATCGTGATCATGTGGTTGTACTACAAGTAGTTGAATTCGTTTGATCTAGACAGTAGATCATCATTTTGTAATAAGATAAGATCAACAATCTCTAATGATAATCATAATGTAACTATATACTGTACTGATCACGCATACCACATCTATACCGCAATGGCAACATAAATTGTACTGTCGTTCAACTGTTGTAACTTCATTCTAACCGCTTTCACCATTTCAAACCAACCAATTAGCAGCCTTACCATACGAGTCAACGATCTCCCTCTCTCCTCCTCTATTTACAGTTAACACACATATTATATATATAATATCACAATGGCTCCATGATCCAAATCGACTCACACGGAAGTAAAAAAAGAGAAGAACAAGTGGAAAGTTTTTGTTTTTCTTGGGCATATCCCAAG